CCCCCTTTAGCGCCGGCACCCACCGGCCCTAACTCCGTCATGCACGTAACCAATACCAACATTCGACAACGATATTCCAATTCACAACACCAACACCCAATACCGACACATAACCAACTCGCGACATCCAGATGCCTTTTCCCAAACACACTAAAGGGAATGGCCGGCATGTTGTGACAGGTGCATCAATGCTACCTTGATCCAGCAAAGATGACTCCCAGCTTGCATAGGCATTAGAGATCCTTGGTGACACTCAGACACTTGACAAAGCTTGCTGTCAGCTGGCATGTTGCAAATGTTAAAAGCAAACTTGGACTTGGATTTGGAGTTTAGAATGGAACTTTGATATTCTGTTTCAAGCAACCTTCTTTACAACTCTGACAACTCATATTGCCTTGATGTGGTTGAGTTTGGGTGCGCTTACCTTTGGCTAGGCTGGGACTGGCGGCCCTTACAAAGATGTACGCAATGACAATGATTCAACATTGCAAAATATAGTTTTCATGATTATGGCCGGCAATTGCAATATGGTATGCGGCATGCGGTATGATGTATGCTTGTCTTGAATATGGTTCAATACGAAAGAAACAGTAAGTAAGTTGGATGATGTATGCTTTGCAAACCCACAAACATGAAACAATTGTGCAGTGCAGTGCTGTCCAAAAATCTCTGTCGCAAACTCTTCCACCATGAAGGGGTCCTTCTTCTGCGGCGTGCTGTCCATTCCTGCAGTTTGCAAGAGATGGCATTTTGACAGACAAAAATAGGTCAAATCAAATAAAATCAAACCAAATCAACAAACACACAAAGACTCCGGTGACCAAGTGCAATATACCACAAACCAACCATGCTGTAATGCTTTGATTTGATACATGTTGAGATTGAATGAACCTGTTGATTCTTTAAAACACACACTACATGCTACAGATGAAATGATCCCAGTGAAATGATTCCCAAGGACACCAAGGACCATCCTTCTGGTTACTAGCAAGCTTCTAAGACAATGTATTGGATTGGACTGCACTGTACTCTGTACTATGCAATTCCCAACATTCCAAGGGTCCAAGGCTGATGATGCGGCTTGACCTGCCCCAGGTATTCCATTGCTTCCGTCGAAGAAGCATCAGGAAGGCATCCAAGCGGTACTTCGATCTGGACAAGGTTGATGCACTTGGCCCTCCTCGCCAAAGGATCGGGACAATGATTGTCTTTAATTGGTTGGCATGAGTCACTGGCCATGGCAGCCACAGGACAAAAAAATGCCTTGATGACTTAATGACAATGAATTCTCAAGTTGATGTTTCAACAGTCTCAACTCTCAACAGTCTCAATTCATCGAGCTGAAGATCTCAAGTCTCGAGAGTCACTGAGCCATCTAGATTTGGCATTGAAATTTGAAATTCCTCAAAATGTGCCAATTCAGTGACTTGCACTGACTGCCCTGCGGCATAATTAGTTTTTAGATATCGAACTGCTAGCCACTAGCCTACTGACGGTCCCACCCGCTGCCTAGCAGCGCCGCTCCTTGATTGTGTTCCAGGTTGACTCCATCTTTTGACACTGTGCTAAGAAAGTCAGCAAAGTTTCCGGAGATCAAGTGAAAACATGTTTGCAAGACAAACCCGAGTTGTTTTTGGTTTCTCAATTGGATCCCCACTGTCATGTATTCAAACAGTTGTTTGATAGTATAAGAGGCGCCACCACGCCCCCGGTGCTGTAAAGGCTTGCTCGCACCAGAGTTCTGCAATGCTTCCCTGTGGACCTGGTCGACCTCATGGAAACTGCTTGTATAATCTGGTGACCAAGTGCTGACACAAGTTTTGACATCTTCAAACTTGAAGTGCAAATTGCATCAAGTTGAAAATCAAATATGCATTTTGCAACAGCACTAGTAGCTTTAGAGAATACCAAAGGAGTAAGCAGGAGGGCCGGGTAAGCAGGATTCATTCAAACTACAATCTCAGGGAAAATGGGAACATATCATCATATCTTAGATCAAGAATCAAGTCAAGTCAAATTCTTTTAGATCAATTGATCATTAGGCATTAGGTCATAACATGGAAGTGAATCAATGAAGTCGCAGAATGGCCAAGTTGCTTTGGTCAGCTCATGCAACAAGCGCAATCCATCATGGAATTTGACCTGGAAACAATTGCAACGGACAAACAGAAAGAAGGCTTTTTCACTTTTCACTGCTGGTTATAACTTGGGTGTGTCCTATCAGCTGTAACAGTCAGTAAGCAATTAGCACCATTTAGAGAAGGGCCTTTACTGAAGTTCCATTGACCAACCCATCAGTGCCAGCTGGCCTAATCCAATGATCCAAATCGCAAGATCGGCACGCCAGCAGCAGTCAGCAAGCCGAAAGCAGCTGAAACTTTGCCAGCCGCAGCAGCCAGCGCTTCCAGGAGGCCTGATCTGCAAGATCGCCAGCAGCAGTGAAGAGACAGCAGCCAGCGCTTCCATGAGTGAAACACATACTACTTGAATGTTGAAAGTTGAAAGGGATGTCTATCTATGTAAAATGCCAGTGCAGTCAGAATCTATGTGAAGTGACGTGCAACGCCTATGGACCAGTGTCCTTTAACTTGGGTGAATCCAGGGCATGATGATAGTCAGTACAGGCCCTTCTCTAAATGATGCTAATTGTTTATTGACTGTTACAGCTGATAGGACACACCCAAGTAAAACAGCTCCGGTGAACAGCTGACTGTTCCAGCTGACTTTTAGAGCTCCGGTGAAACAGCCTTCTTTTTCTGAAGGCTTGGTCCAATTTGACAAAGGCAGCTTTCATGGTGAATTTTTTGTTTCCCTACCTGGTGTCAACACTGGTTTTCAAAAATGTCTATTTCCTTTTTTTTTGTCTATTTGCTTTTTTCTTACCCCCCCTGACCCACGCAATTTGGCAGTTCCGATATA